AAACATCTCACGAGTTAATCGAATATAAATATATTAAAAAAATATATATATCTTCTTTCAGAACCAATGTACTGCGGAGAGTAGCGAGCTATTTGTGAACTGTCTAGAAGCTATGGTGGAGACATGTCTGCCGGGAGACGACAGTGTGCGACCTCGCGCTCCCCCGCCGGACCCTGACCACCCTGACACTGCAGATCTGCGGTACCCGGGTAAGACACTACACGACCACGATAACATAATACCCACTGTTGCACTTGTATAAATCATTGTCGTCCCTTTCAATCTCTTTAAATACAGAGCCATTTATTACAAACCCGTTACAGTTATTGAATTTCACTGCTATATTCTCTCTTCACCGTTCAGACGAGACGTATAGGAAGGGTAATCCTCTTTGTGTCCTCCTCAGTCGATTAAAATTGGGCAACTCATCAGCAGTTGAGGATGTCTATGGCGGTAGTTTCGCTATTTCGGCGAATTTAGGTGACCGCTCGCTCGTTTTTCACCTTATGATAAAAAATATATTTTATTGATTTTGTGTACTGATTGTAATTTTACAGGTGTACACAGGCAGCCCACTATATACTGTTCTACACAAGATACATAACAAAAGGCAAAAGTAAGTAATAGATGATTATTTCAATTGTTCAATTTTGTAATATTAAAATCAAAAATTATATAATTTTTCAGAGAAAAACTCTTGCTACTCAGACGTGAAGATAAGTAGCAGTAGTAAATATTCACAACGAAATCTACATGTTTTTATATATAAATTGCATTTTAATATTTTTATATAGAATGTTACTAACCGTGGGTTTCTGACTTCTAAATCTCTGTTTAACAAATATTGTTATCTCAGTTTTGTGAAAGATAATGACAGGAACGAAAATATGTTTTATACACAGATTTTGGTGTCAGAAACCCACAGTAAATCTTTTATAAATTTAATAGTTGTAACGATTATTGCATTTACTTATGTCTAAGCTTCCTACATTTGGTACGCTTTTATGTTAGATTAAACATTTTGTTTTTAGTATTAATAAGTCTATTTAAGATATTCTTATATAAAAAGAGATTTTTAGTAATTTCACTATGCGTAAATATATGGATGAGGAAGCGAGAGATATGCTAGAATCGCACTAAATAGAAAACCTCTAGCTGATCCCCAATGAGTGGCGCTGCTGTCGCGTTTAATTGCGACACTAGCGCCACTCACACAGGACATGTGTTTTGTGGACAATATACGAAAATATCAATAAACAAGTGACATTTAAAATCTCATATTGATCTTGTAAATAAAAATCGTAAATATATTTAAGTTTAATAATGACAAAGATGAAATCCACCGTTAATATGTAGTTTTTAATGATTATTTAACATTAACAAAACAGATCTGACTTAACATTTGACATCGTTTTATAACTATTTGTAGAAGCTGTTGAATTGATTTTTTTGAGGCCTTTCTTTTTAAAACTAGCCCAGTATTTTTTTGAAGCCCGGAGTAAAATATATTTTATATGTCAATAACAAGCATGGTTTTACATTTATCTATCTAAATGATGTAAAGATTTGGTTATATACTCTGTATGTAAAAGCTCTTCTATCAGAAAATAATCAAAGCTATATTAAATTTATTTCTTTACACTTGATCTATTTTAGCAAAGGGAAGTGTGATTATTATATATTTTTTAAAAATAAAGGAAATATATATTTATGATAGGATTAATCTTAATATTTGTTTATTGCACTTATTAATGTAATTTAGATGTATATGTGTACAATTAAAAAAAATTTAAACAAATGCGCCTAATTTTTAAAAACAATTATGTTTAAGACTGTATAATTGAACTTTATTAATATTTTCAAAAGAATTATATTTACAAAAATATTACATTAAATAAAATTTTATGCACGTTATTAGGATTTATTAGTCTGGCACAATTACTTGAGACTTTAGTCCTATGACGTCACAGATAAGTCCAAGTATCAAAACTCGATAATCCATTCAAATTAAGGCCGTGTTATGTTTATGAATCGTATTCAAAGTTATATTGGTAATTTTGAAGATTATAAATTGACTTTATTAAAAGCAGATTAATAACATACTAGATATCAATAGTTCCTTGTAAATTTTAATTCAGTGTGAAATCCAATTTTGTTTCTTCAATTTATAACCTAATCAAGAATATAGAAAATCGTTTCAATCGTCTTTATTACATTACTTAATATTGAGAAATTAGTTCCATATTTTTCCGCAATATGGCGAAAGATTTTTAATTTTTGGTCAGGTTATAAAATATATTACAGGTGCTTATGTTATAGTAAAACTTTAACATTAGTAATATAGTGATTCAGTTTTTTAAATGTTATCACGTTTTATATTTTCAAGCATCATGAATTAATGTGTTTCAAACGCATACTTTTAAAGTACAATTGTTATAAATTTAGTTTAACCCAAAAATAAAATGCATTTGAAGTAGTTACACTGTTTTCCAGTTATTTGTTAATGTTTGGCATAAATTCATGTTACAAATTGAGTTTAATTTAAGTCTGTTGCTCGTTTGTCTAAAAAATCTAACTACAAAATCTTCTGTTTAATATACAATCGAAATTATTTCACAAATTACAGGGTAAATAAATATTAGATAATTTTATTTATTTCTACATCATTATGAAATTGAAAATAAAGTTGAAGCATTGCTCTTTTTCCATATACTAGTAATAACTTTACATCAAACAGAATTTTTATTTCTCAATAAAATCAATCAATATCATAATCAAATTTAGAATTTTAAGATCCTAATTTAACTTTTTTACTATAATTATTTACTTTATGAAGCAAAGTTTAAAAACCTGAATCTGATATCAAATATTGAATTAATTAATTTCACATAAATATCTTTTTCATACATTTTTATTAATTCTTTTCAGAATTAATTCCCATTTTTGATTTTAAAACTGGCAACAGATTATCCTATAGTATTTGTTACTAAAAAAAAGTTGTAATCTAGAGGAATTGATATTTATAATATATATATGTATGTTTAATACATTTATTAATATAACGTGTACAGTATTACTATTTGTAGAAATTAAATATTGAGAATTATCACGCTTATAAATTGTTATAATTTACATCTCAATGTTTGCATGTATTAAATAAATAAAAATTTATATATTTTATTTCAAAACCTACATCAGCCTGTACTTCCCGATATTATTTATTTTTAGATTTTAGCATATATTGTTATCTCTTTCTCTCTTTGAAAATAACAGAGACAACATTATGTGGAATTTTATGTAACAATTACAGCTGATGTTCGCTCTATAGATATGAGGTACATTTATATAGACTTAGCTTATTTCCGTTACTTCTTAACTAAGTAACCCAGACGGTATTCCAGACAATAGTCTATCACTTTGCCGAAATTCCATCCAGATCCGCTTAAATATTTTGAAGCTACCTGTTTACAAACATCCATCGTCATTGGCATTTGTAAGATTAGTTCATAAATAAAACAATTTTTCTCTGCAAAACCATATTTATATTTTAACAAAACACCAAAAAATAAAACCCGAATATTTCATTTAAATTAATGTACCACGAGCCCTGTATGTCAAAAAAAAACAACAAAAATATTTTTTTATTGTTTTTTACAAATATCTTAGAGATTAACATTCGAGTCAAAAAGGATTTACAAAATCTGTTTCAAACAAGTTTTTAATATCGACATGTTTTTACAGACACTGTATGAATAAAATAACCGTGAGGTTTCACTGGACATATATTAAAACATTTCATCGCTATCATTATCTTAAAACTGCGATAATTTATTTCTATAAGACAGTGGAATCTTACGGTTATAAGAAACAGTTCTATGTGTAAATTTGCCGCGGATACAGAAACCCCGCTATCAAATATTGTGTCGTGAATATGGAATTTGACGACAAGATTTGACAGTTCTAATAAGACTAACTATAAAATAATATGTACATGAATTCGAGACAGACAATGTTTATTAAATTAATTTCATAGTATTAATATTAACACATTCAATGCCACGGACTCGTTCTGCAGGTTTACTTCACTGCGTGAAATTTGTAGCAGCATTGAATGTGTTAACAATTACTATTTTTAAATGTTACAACTTAATTTTTGAATAATGCTTGAGAGAGTTCACTACATAAACTAAATGGTAAATTATAAAGACATTTTGTTTGCAGGATATACCCGTATACCTTTTACATAATTTAAATTATAATTTTGGCACACAAGAAACAATGTAAAGTAACGCTTACAATAAACAAATAACAAAATATTAGTTTTATACAGATACATAGACATAATTGGTCATGAAAAATATATTCGCCACCGGACGAATATACTTGAGTGTTTAGCCATTTTTTTTAATATCAGTTTAGTATAATGTCTCACGAAAGTTTGAATAATTTAATAATTGAACATTTTAAATATAAAGTAATTTTTAAAATATACACATAGTTTTGGAATGATTAAATAAATACATGTGTTTGAAATAATTTTTAATAGGGTCAATATGTATGTTTAATATGTTTAAAGTAATTATTAAAGATTACCTGAATCAGTTGAGCTATACGAGTATTTGTATATAATTATTAATAATTATATACAATTCATACACGAAAAAAAATAAGTGGCGATTAAAAAATTATATATTGTCTATAGGTTTCTACTTTTTGTGGTTGAGCAAATACTATGAAATACATATGTTATAAATGCAATAAATAAACCTAAGTTTTAGTTAAGAGAGAATTTTAACAAAAATCAATTAATATAAATTTTTCCCATCACTCCATTACCATTAAACATAAATCTGATACCAGTTTATAAAAAAAATAATTGCAAAATTTAACAGTGGGAAAGTTAATATAAAAGTCATAATGAATTTCTTATTTATAAAATAACTTCATAAGTTCATTTCTATATGTATACTTTTTATTATTTATACAAAATATATGTACTTCATAACAGAAGAAAATAAATGTAGTCTGAATTTGTTGAATGACAATGATTAAAAAAAAACATTTTAAATAAATAGAGGTTATATATCAACTCAGTATTGTTAATTCAACAATACGATCTTAAAAACACTGGAATTCTGAGTGAAGTTAGCCATGGTCAGAAGGAGAAAGCGAGATGGAAATATGAGTGAAAGAGAAAGAAGAGCAAGTATTTGTTGTTTCATAATTGTATAGGTTCATTTAATTGATATTTAATATTAACCAATTCCAGTTCTAAAAATTCATGTCCTACATTTCTATGTAGCTATCAAGATAGCACCAAATACTAGATTAATACCTACATCTGGTCAGATTACTAATCTAGGTGGGAATTAAATATCATTGGTTGTGTGTAAGTCTTTATAATAAGGCAAATATCATGTAAAGATTAAACAATACTAAATATGTTTATCATTTCAAAGAGTGTATTACAATGTATTTATAACAATTACAATGTCAATTTATTTTTATTATAAAATTAAATAAAATATTTTTAATGACGTCATTATAAATGTACCAAACCTATAAATTAGTTGTTGCATTGATTTAGTAACAACATGGAATACATTTTTTGGTATTAATTGAATATAGATTTCATTTGGCCTACATTAGCCTCCTAATAGCCAATCTAACCCTAAACCGTTGCTAACACAAACTAAAACAAATTATGCTTCACTAAGGACCTGAAAAATGAAAAAAAAACCTTTTTAGTTTCTTAAATTTAATTAAATATGTAATTGAAAAGGTTTAACACACTCACAGACACTAAAATTTTGTATTAAAAATTATGGCGCGAGTCAGTGGCACAAAAAGGCACATCTAATCTTGAGTAAAAGAAAAAAAATATAATAATTACCTTCTTTTATATGTAGGCTATGTGCTATTTTCCTTAATATTTTGTTGCACTGGAAGATCTAATTTATCTGATTTATCCTGCAATCAACGTAAAATATTGTTGAAAAGAAAAATATGATTCATTACATTAATTGAAACTGTATATCTTTGCATCCATTGTGCTTAAAAAATGGTTCTATCTACTCAGCCATGAGACGCCCACTGCTGGGCATAGGCCTCCCCCAAAGATCGCCACAAAAAATGGTTATTATGATGTTATTTTATTTTTACTAAAAAAAAATTATAAGAAAAATCCACCTATCCATTTACCTCATCTAGGGTAAGTTTTGCAGCATGTCCATTGCGTAGTGATTCGCGTAGCGTATCATCTTCATCATCTGTGGGTACATCATAAAACTCCTCGCTGTCCATTTCACCATCAGTTGCTAGAGAATAAAAAGACATGTTATAGCAATTGTTAATGTGTATTTTTATTGTAAAATGTGGCAAATGAGCCAGCGAACACTTAATTTTACCAAATAGTCAAGTATCACTGTCCATAGACATCTGCTACATGTTAAAATGTGTTTTTGCTTGTTTGTTTATAGTCTTTGAAAGAAAATTGATAAATTTCAATTTAATTAAAATATAGATATTATATGATATGACACTTATTATTAATAAAAGTACATAACTTTATTGTTACTTACCTATAACAGATTGATAGTCAGTAAAATATTCAGAATCAGAGGCATAGCTTTGATCCGGAGCATCAACAGTGTCACCTGAAGGTGCAGCTTTAGGAGATTTGACTTCTTTCGGTCTTGGACTACGCTTTTGTTTCATGCGTCGAAGTTGACTACAAAGTATTTATATAACATAATGTACAAATTATAAATACGTTTACTGTATCTATCTTGAAACTTTGCATTTATTTCGAATAAGAAAAAAATGTAAAGAATGTAATAATTACGTAATTTTTGTTTTGACTTTAATGATTATAAATACACTCAATAACTAAATCAATAAACTAATTATATTAAAATTAAGACTTACGTTTCTTTCTGTAGCTCTCTTAAGGCTTCTAATTCTGTTCTCATGCATGAAACTTGTTTATCAAGGCGGGCAACCTCCCTTACTATAAAATGAAAACATCAATATACAACATCTTTGTTCAAACTAGTGTTTTATTTATGATTTAATTAAATTATCATTACTGTTTACTAACAGTAGATCCAAATTGTATTACTCAAATACTATTTCCAACTATTTTTTTTTATAATGTAACTTATTCTTTGGTATTATGAGCTCTTCTCTTATGTCTTACAAGGAACTGAAATTATGTTATGCAAATAAAATTTCTTGTGCACTTAGTGATGTATTAAAAGTCGGCAAGCAATATTAGTAATTATCTACATGCTAGTCTGTGTTAAATGTGAGTTTATTGTACTTTATAAGAAAATGTTTCTTACCTAGCATAGCTCTTCTTTTTTCTGCATAGATTTGTTCATATATGAAGACACCTGCAGCACCTACTAGTCCCACGATAGCTGCTCCGGCCATCATACGAGTCGACAAAAAAGTATTGTTACTCATATTTGTAGGCAACGTTAACTTTGAATACTTTGTAAAAATATTATTGAATAAATTAAACAAAAAAAACACTTTCACACTGCTTCAAATTATGGTCACATTTAATTTATATTTAAGAATCAACAGCCAAACTGAATTTATAATACTATTGTCCAGTCCTAATTGTTTAATGCAAAATTCATTGAACTGTTAGTGGAATTAAAAATCGAAGATATTTTAAGTTTTAACCAAAAACCAAAATATTTGTGTGGCGGTGCAAAGAGTATATAAAATAAGAGACGGGACTCTTGACTAATTAGATACACAAACGGAGAATAAAAATTGACATTTTAAATGCTAGCAATATTATGAACAAGTCTACGTTGCTACCAACCTAAAAAAATCAATCTGTCAATTTCCTTTTTGACGTTTGAAAGTATTATTCGAGGGAAAACAATTTTGGAAAAATAAAACAATTTCTTTAATTGCAACTTTATTTAATCTTCTGACTAAAGCGAACATATTTTAAGAACGCAACATAATGCTCATTGCTTTCGTAATAATACCATTATTGTTTAGTTCACCAACAAAATACCTTTGATAAATGCTTATTTGTTCCAGTTTGTTTATTTGATAGATCATATTTTCTGATAGAACTGGAGTAGTAGTGCCACTCTTGTCTTGAGAAATAGAATAACACTGGAAAGAGATTAGCTCCTCTCTGTTGGTAAAATATTTAGAAAATTGCTAACAAGACAATATGCATTGAAGCAAAACAAATCGTCATCATCAAGCTCACTATACGGACACACTATACTCCACTGAGGAGCTCGGAGCCTACCCTCAAGAATGCGACGACGTCTTATTCAACAATGCAGAGCCAGTGAGGGTTGGTTGACTTCGCACATATCTTTGAATTTCTATGCAGTTGTATGCAATTTGTAATTACAGTAAGAATGTCTGATGGATGTTATCATGAAATTCGAAGAACTCATTACTATATAGCGGAGATCGTACCTGGATATGTAAAATATGATCCGGTCAAGCGCCAACTGCACTGCCGACGCTCCAAATAGTCCCCTAATCCAAACTTTTCCTATCAAAACATTGCAAATGTACAAGTCATGTTAAATATTATGTACTGTAAAAATAGAATACAATATTTAAGTTTTACTTCTCAAATAAATTCATAAAATTATCATGAACCTAAAGATTCCGCATTTTAACTCTTTTGTCATTACTATTCTCCATAGATGTGTAACCTATAGATTCCTTAACGAGGAAAAATAATGAGCTTAGGAGGCATCATTTTGGGGAAAAGCACCTGTGTTGAAATTTAAATTACTTGTAAGAAAATTGTATACAATCTGTTTATTTTTTATTACTTAGTTCAAAAAAAGTTTAAGATATATAATAAGTTGTGATATTTGTAAAATCCAAATTTAATGAAAATCATTTTGTTTCATATTTTTCACTAAATGGTTTTTTTTTTATCTTTTGTACTTGATACTTAATTCCCTATATTTTAGTATATTTTTATTTTCTATACACTGCATTTCCCAATTTCGAGAAAATCTTATTATGTTAGTGAATATTTTATATTAAAGTCTAATACATATTTCTAAAAATTGTCATAATATTAACATCAAACTAATATAAAACACTAAATTATAATATAAATAATGTATAGGTTACACATCTATATATCAATATTGACATTAATATAGTTATTATGCTTGTGCATTTCCTGCAACATGGTGACTCTTTTTTAGATTTGCGGTTAAACTACTTCATATAATAAGTTATTTTTCAAAATTTAGTTTAGAATTACAATATTTTAAACAGTCAAACTTTGTAGCACAGATGTTGCAGCGACATGCAGTCAGTATTTCTGAAGCAGATTCCTTCATTTAATAATTCTGTAGAACTTGAAGAGGTGCAATCATTCATCTGCAACAGTATGAAATAGTAATTAATTGATTCAAGTCTACAACATAATCAATTTAATTATTGCTTTTCACCTAATTACATACCTTATTAAAAAAAACTGGTTTTCTTTGATTATATAGATTTCTCCCCATTTACTTACAAAACTTATTTGAAATTCAATTCTCTACAATGATGGAACTCACAAACCATGTAAAAATGATGATTAGTTTTTACAGGTACAGATTTTTTGGAACTTTTATTGCCTGCCCATTTTTGTGAAATGTCTATGATAGAATCATTAATCAAATTAGTTTGAAAAACTTGTCATGACATGACCAATTTACAGTTTAATCTACAATATTTGAAACAATAATAGAGAGATATTCTACACACAACCTAAATAATGTTTAAGTTAATTTTTATTATTGAATCTTTTTCATGTTTCGAGCAAACCATATTATACTAAATATCAAGCCAATTTAAAAGGTTAAAATTGTTCAAATAATTGCTGGAAATATGTGCTTTGGGAATTATTATTAATACTTAATATTTACCACTTACCATGTAGAATTTGGCATATGTCTTGTACTTACTTTTATGTTATTTTCATCAATTTTTGTTGTAAATTTACTTTTCAGCAATCAGCAAAAGGTCATAAGTTCTAGTTCAACATTTAGTTCTTTTAAATATGAATAGAATGTAAAATTTTATTTTTGTTCAAATTCTATTTCTGTGAATCCATAGATTATGTTTTCTACTGCTTTTTACTTGTTTCACACCTAAAAACAGAAAGTATTAAAAATTGATAAGTTGTTCATACAATGTTCTTCCTTTGTAGTTAATTATAACTGTAAAGCTTATTCTTATAATTTAATAAGTTACAAAAACTTCAGTGGTTGGATGTAACTGCTGGTAACTTAGTTTAAATAGAAAAATAAACTATTACAGATATCTTTATTTTTATTAAATCACATATTGTTGATGTTATTCATAATTTTATTATAAACAAACCTAAAGATGTGTACTTTTTAATAATAAATTTCGGTCAATTTGTCATTGGAAAGTGAGTCACACTCCCATTTTAAAGTCCAACCCAAACAATAAACAAAGTCTTTTAACATTTGAATAATAATTTTATTTGGAACAACTTTACAACAGCGAATCAAACCAAGTTTTCATAAAATCAATTTTAAACTTTAGGAAATGATCATCATGAGTATTATTGCTATGAAGGTTGCTGAAGATGAATATATTGCTATGAAGATTTTTTTCGGGGTCTTAATTTATTTCATTAAGATATTAAAATTGTTTCATATGTTTTCAGTTTTGTAACAGGTATGCTGACACTCACAATTTTTATAAAATCACATGTTATAATAGAAAATATTTTCGCTTTTTCGATGTTTTTTTATGGTATTAAAAATGTTCCAAACCTAACCTTTCCAGATTGCTTTTTGTGTTTTATTACATGTTATAAACCTAGCTTTACTTATCCTGCGCTTTTCTATTGTTCCAAACTTAACTTACCCTATGTAGTTTTCTTGGTTTTTTTTCAACTTAAGTTACGACTCCAAAAAAAAAACTTCCAAAACAGTGTAAGAATATACCCTATCGTTTAAGACATATGTAATGGAAATTTGGCTTGATTCGGTTTTATAAAGCATTACCTTTTATGTTATTTAGAACTTCTATACAATTTCAAAGCGAACTTTCATTTCATTGACTTTTCCTAAGTAATTACGAATATAAAACACATTTAGCAACATTTTAACGTAAATATGGAATAAGATTTATTTACGTACATAAAATATCAAGTATAGTCATTGATACTTTATTTGATATGTAGTGAGATAGAATAATAGTCAAAACAACAAAAAATACAAAATATAATACTAAAATACACAATGTAATTACCACATGGTTCTTGGAAATCTTCTCAGAAGAAAACATCAGCTTTCTAACTCTCAAAATTATAATACACTTAATCCCACAATTTACACTGAAACTACAATATTCTTACCAAATAAGGTTAGATTTTAAATATAATAATATCATAAAAAATTTCGTTTGTTATATGAGAGAATGAAAGTTTAATGGCGGACGGCGGAGGACATCGTTGTCGGGTGGGGGGGAGGTGTTTTCATGATGAATACAAATAAATTGTAAATTTTAAATTACATACTTCAAATAACTTAATTAAGTTGTTGTTTATTTATTATCTAAACTTTAAATATAAAGAAATTATAAATTTTTAAATCACAATTTATTCATATGCACTATGGTATTTTTTTTTTAAACAGCCCAAAAATTATAGAGAAACTTATGAGTGGGATAGACACAATTTTCAAGATGGAGGATCTCCGTTTGCGTTCAATTTGTACCATAGACTAATAGAGTTTCGCCTGCCTGTGGCGGTGTATGATTAGTTGATTAGTGATGCGCTGTCTGTAGAAAGAAAAAAATTGCAATAAAATCGATAATCTTTCAAATCGAATGAACAAACAGTATATTAAAAAGGAAAACCAGAATAATGAGGTATTAATTTCATATTTAGTCAACTATAATTTGTATTTATTACCCACGAACCTGTGAATATTCTATATGTATTAAAGTGTTGGACTTGCTGGTTATCGGTTATCGTTAATCGTTATGTGTCAAAAAAACGTCAAGCTGTCAAATTCAGTTAATGCCAAAAGCTTGTGTTTTGTTGTTGCTGTATTATTTTTAAAATTTAATGCCGAAAAAAAAAATTGTAGCTACATTATAAGTAGTAAGCCCAGAAGTCCTTTCGAAATACTTAATAAAAAAATCTTTTTTGTTTGTTATTATAACTTTACGATATCGGAAACTACATATTAAAAAATCGGCAAATAGTATTAGATAAATATGGATGTTACGGGTAATTTTGAGGATATAATTTCTGAAAGTAACTTCGAAACGGATGGTTCTCCAGAAGCAAGAGAAGAAAAAGTTACTTCGCAAAATCCAGAAAACAGGGTGGATGAAATTATACCGATAAATGCTAGCTTAGATGATATTCTTGTGAATGTAGCAGATGATGACAGTAAAGACATTAAGGAAATGTCTGATGAACAAAAGTTACCTTTGAAATCAGACGGAAAGGATATTCCAATAGAAGTGCCAATCCAAGAAGCAGGTGATGGCACAGAAGAAAGTTATTTAAAACTATGTGTTAAATCTGATGCTGTAATTACCTCAACAAATATAGGTGCTGAAATGAGTACTGTTAACAAATCTCTTATGGAATACTTTGATGCAACTTCAAATAATGACAATGATGTTAAATCTAATATTGATGAAGACAATAATAGTGATGTACTAGATGAAGACTTACAGCTAAGATGGGATGATGACGAAAATGATGGTGATAATGTGATAAGCAGTGCAGATGAAGAAGAATTATTAAAAGAAAATACAGACACACATGATGAGAAAGCACAAAAGGAAGATACCGATAGTAAAGAACTGAATGAACAAAATGTAAGGAAAGAAAAAGTACATGCACTAAAACCTACTACAACTGATAAATATGATAAATATGTTTCAACAGATTCAATACAAAAAATTGAAGAAATTGTAACACAGCATGGCTTGAAAAAGCCTGATATGATGTTGGAAATACCCACTCAAGAATTAATGGATTTTATGGATGAAGATGATGAACCTGATCTTAGTAATTTGGATATATTACCTGACATAGAAAAGGGTCAAAATAGCCCTAAGGATGAAGACGAAATGGATATTGATAACCTTAAAACTCTAATTAATGCTGATTTACAATTGGATGATGATGACACAAATACTACAGAAATTGTGCAAACTGATTCAAAAGATTCTGAAAACATTAATGCTAATGTAAGTGTGTCATTAGAAAATAATGAAGCTTTAACAGATATAGTATCAAAAGATATGGATCCAGTTCAACTAAAAGATGATGGAAATCAGCAAAATATTGATAAAACTGTTGATGAACCTCAACCTTCAACATCCAAAGCTTCTGCAATAACAGAAATGAAAGGAGACTCGGATGAAGTAGGTGAGATGAGTGATAGTCTGGGTTTGTTGGCTGAGTCTACCAAAGTGGAAGAAGATGATGATGATGATGAGCAGGAGGATGATGATGATGATGGAGATGATGATGAGGAATATGATCCAGATGAAGGTAAACAACACACTGATTTATTATGTTTAGTTTTAATTAATTGCAGTGTGGTTTTTTACCAGTAGATGCCTGCAACAACACCATCTGTAGTACAAATGGGCTGGAACACCAAGACCACATAGAAGACAGGCGACAAGTGGAATCAATTCTGTGTTTCACCTTATGAGAGTGCATACCAAAAGCCTAATATTCCCTTACTTTACCTTCCAACTCTTTTCTTCCTTTCAAGAATAGAATTTATAGGGAAAGTAGATTTGGCAGAGGAGGGGATATATAGGAAAGGAAGTATTCTCAGTATCCTTAATTAAAACTTTTCTTTCAGAGCATAGTAACGAAATGGTAGTTGAATATTCAGAAGACTCTAATGCAGTAAACTCTGATTTGGACATAGTTAAAATAACACAATCTGATGCACCTACAGTATCACAGACAGACTCTACCCTGTGCGATGAACAAATTGATATTTGTGAATTCTCTGTTACTGACAATATAAGTCAAGAGGAAAATGACAAAAATATTGAAACCATAGAGGAAATGGAAACTGATGTAAGTTTTTGATGTATAACATTTTTACAATCATTATTTTGTGGATGGATGGATGTTTGTTCGAAGGTATCTCCAAAATGGCAGCATGGATCTTGTTGAAATCATCATCAACACATCGGCTATTAATTCAGTATTTTTTCATTCCGTGCGAACGGAGTCGCTGGCGACAGCTAGTGTTATCATAAGTAACATAATTTTAAATCATTTAAATCTTTTTATTTGGTTTTAGATAACAATGTTTGAAGCTGAAAAAAATTATGAGAATAATGAGGAAATTGGTCATAAAATGGTAAGTGGTTATTTTAAATTAATTTCAATATTTCTTGTGATTGTTACCAATTTAATTATAAGCCACAAGTTAAAATATTCTCATAAAATATTGCATATTTTCCAGATTCTAGATAAAGAATTGGAACAAGATGAGCCCGAGTCTTTAATATCTCCTGCTACAATTGATATAGATAATGGTGATGAAGTCTCAAATAAACTACCCGAAGAGAGTGAACAAGGTATTTTCGTGATAGGTTGGATTCTAATAATTACACAATTCAAATAAGCATATACTAAGAGACACAGAGATGATGTACTGAAAAATGATTGTTTCATGTACAGTCATGGTCCTTCGCAGTGTTCCACTTATAGAAAAATCGCTTTGTTCCTTGCAATAATACAAACTCTGCCCCATCATACTAAATAACCAATAAAAAGGGTTTTGTTAAAAACCAATTAGTCATGTATCCTATTGGTTATTGTTTTTGTGCCATCTTCTCAATGCCTACGAAACATTTAAACAACTTGCTTTTAAGGTGTAGTACCACCAGATTCCCTGATATTACATGCTAAGTCCACATCACCTCCCCATTCTTTCCTTAATAGAAAAGTAAAAGGACTAAAATGCTGGGCGTCCGGCATCAGGCATGGTCGGGTTTGAATATTCTTGCACATTGTTACATAGGTTATTGACTTTAATTAATTAAAGAAACTTTAACAATTTAATATAGATGAGAACAGCATGACTATAAATGAAGCACAGTCACTATCAGCTCCAGAATCGGAGAAAAGGAAAAATGATAATGTTGTACTACTGGACAGCTCGTCAGAAGGTGAGAATAATTAAATCAGAAGCTTTATTTTTGTTATTCAATGTGACTATGAAATTGTAATTTTTTCTAATTTTAGATGAAAAAGAAAATTCGCCAAATATTCAGATGGAAAAAGAAGAACCTAGTCTGAATGATGATATTAAAAGTAACTCAGGATCGCCACAAAACGAAAACTCTACAGATGAAATAGTCGAAAAAATGGATATTGACAAAATTAATTCACCAAATAAAGAAAAAAAACAATCGGTAAGCAATCAAAATCAGTATTAATTCTTGTTTAGTTCAAATATGTTAATGTAGTAGTTATTCATATTAGAATTTTATTTTTCAGTCGAAACTCCCAATTGGCTTAGAAGTGTTTAATGTTGATTCAGACGAAGAAGAATTAGGACAGAATGGTAAGTAATTTTGAGTACAGAGTAGATTGCCAATATATGATGGAATAGGTTGGTATTATATTGGTATGATGGAATAGATGGTAGGTAAAATTATTCTTTTTTTTTCGTTTTTTAATTAACATTTTTTTTAACACAGACATGGTGGAGAATGTAGAGCAGCCAGTACCCATAAAATGTGTCAACCCCAAGTGTCAGAGTCCAAATGACACCAAGTTCTATGCGGCGGATGCTGACGTGTTAAAGTTCTATGAGATGGACCACAAGAAGAAGGCAGCGGTCTGTGAAACTTGTGCCAATGTCTTTGATAAACATATTCAGGTAAGGATATGAACGATAGACAAAAATGGTGTGCCAGGATCGTACTAAATGGAAATCCATCATTCAATACTTATGTGATACTGGCGTGTATGTCCATTTACTCCGTTTTTTTAAACACGCACCATTTCTTTTTTTTAATAATGCAAAAAAGCCGTTGTATTTTTAATACCACTATTTTGACAAGAAAATTTATCTCCTGCGCATAAGAATGATAAATGTGATGTGTTTTTCTTAATTAACCCTTTAAGAGCCACTATGTTTTTGACATAATAATTTAAAGTATGTCTTGTTTTGCAGGATTTGTTAAATAGATTTAAGAACTTCACTCCCCTATTGGATCTGCATAATGGTAAATCTAATCAAGATCTAGTCGAGATATATGATTCGGAATCCGAGGAGGAAGATGAGACTGAAGAAAATGGAAACAAGATTGGCACATCTGTAGCTAAGTGAGTAGAACCGTAGAGTTCCACTGCCGTACAGATGTATAAAAAGTTATTTTTTTTAAATTATAATACATAATTAAAAAAATAACAGCTTAAAACTTTTTTTATATATTATTTATTTCAAATGAGATTTTTAATTTGTAATTAATAAAGGTATTTTATATATAAAAAAAATCGTGTCACGATGTATGTTCGCGATAAACTGCGAAACTTTTGATCCAATGTTTATAAATTTTTGTAACCATCTGTAATTTAGTGCCACTTGGGGGGTAGGATAGTTAATATTTCAATCATTGATCATTCCGCGTGAACGGAGTCGCGGGGGACAGCTAGTTTTGTTATAAATTTAAATCACTTACAGATTTCTGGAAGATAATTTGGCAGATGTGTTCAACACATCATGGGAAAAATACAATATGGACTCCCGACTTGCTGTCTCGGAAAACGAACTGCAACAAGACTTAAATAATTTGCAAGGTAACAAAACTCTCTTTTATCTCTAATTTTTTATACAAGACAAGTCTATCAAATTTTTTTTTATTAAATAATAGATTTTTAATATATATTTTTTTTTTGTAAATATTTCCATTTTTCCTGTGATTTGGGACAGATTTAAGTTACCGACGGCCACATTCTTATTTGAAACAATTATATGAAACGTTATTCATGCAACATATATTTATATATTTTGTACGTGATTTTGTACGTCTTGTAACATAATATATTGTTAATTTTGATTACAGTACATACAGAAGAATTGGACAAAATGTTGAAAGAATGTCAAGCAGCGACTGATACATTACGCAATAATCTATACGCCACATTTGAGGTGGACCGCAAGACTTTACCATCTATTGTCATTGTTGACACACCCACAACTATGGTGAATATATCTTACTAATATAAACTACCTGTCAACGGCGACTACGTCCGCGCGGAATCAAAAAAAAATTGTAGCCTGTATGTTCTTTCAGACTATGTTCTATATGTATGGCCACATTTCATAGCGATCTATTGGGCCGTTCTGGATATACCTTCTAACAAACATCCATCCATGTAAACATTCGCATTTATAATATTAGTAAGATGCGAATGTTTAGAAGGATGGATGTTTGTTAGAATCTACAGAACGGCTCAATAGATCTCGATGAAATTTGTCATCTGATATTAAGTTTTTATTTAATCCTGAACAAAGTCGCGGGAAAAAGCTAATTTTATCACGGTAAAACGGTATTTAAGTATCCAGTATTTGAGTTGGCACGTCAGTTACAAGAGTACTGTTTTGCTCAACGTGCCAACTCAAGTACCATTTCTATATTATAAAAAAATCAGTTTTAAAATAATTTAGGCACAGCTTTTTTATTCTGCGTTTGCGGTGATGTTATTGATATTTTTTACAATTTGATATGTTTTTTACGTTTTATAGTTTTTATATTGATGAATAATATTTATTTCAGTACTGCTGCTATGAGAATAACCAAAGTGAACAAGAGGTAAGTTCAATGCTCTACTGAAATAACGATAATGTGTTAAATAAATCTATTATTATAATAAATGTATTTAATAACGGTTATAAAAGAAGATAGTAGTAAACAATACCAAATAATTTAACCTTTTGACAGCCACCTCAGACCCGCTTGAAGCGTCGCTTAATGACAAATACTGACACTCCCGCTAAAAGGTTATTGACTACGGACAAAATGACTTTTCAACAGGTTTGTTACTATCAATTAAATATTTTATTTTTAAACATTTTCCTCTTATTCTTCTTTATTGATTTTTTTAATATGCTTTTCAGGATAAAATCATTGATGGCACTGCAGCAGAAGCTAACGACGATGTAAGTATATAATTTTAAGTAAACATAGTTTTTTATTCTTTAAGGTAGATGAAAAAAAAACAAAAACAAACCTACATACGTGTGAACAAAATTTCTCTTTTACAGTGGGGTAAAACGTACATTGCCCTCTTTATCAGTCGGGTAAAAATATAACCCTACTGTGAAACGGGCAATAACTTATGCATTTATTTCCAGAATGTAGACGTATCAGTGGTAAAGTTGTCCCGTGAGCCGGCGCCCGCAGAGCTGCCTCCGCGCGGCGTCATCATCAAGCCCGCACTGCGCGCCGGCATGTCCGTCTACGCTATGAAGACTACATTCGGACTATGGATTAAAGCTAAGATCGTCGAAATTTTACCTAAATTGGTAAGTAATTTTAACTGTTTCGACTATTACACTTGTATAGTCCAACCTGGATAAACGAGAGTCCAAATAACCCTGAATGTTTCTTTTTCTAACCTCTTATAGAGGTTTCTCTTTTACCCGTATGTCTTACTTATGGGTGTCGTACATTAGGAACGGACAATGAATATCGCTTATCCTGGTTTGACTGCATTGACGTCCTATTCAGTCCCTTTTTAAAATGTACAGAAAAGTCACTTTAGTACGAAATAATATCGTAGTGATATTGAACACGTTAGCTGCCATGTCGGACTATATGTCCGACAAGCCATACTTCCATTCAACACCTCGCTGTGGATTTTAAATCGAATTATTGTTTACAGCGTGACCCGCAAGGCCCCATTCAAATGGTTTTGGACAAAATTAAAAATATATTTTTTTTCGTTTTTCGAAAAATCATTCTGGCAGCTAACGTGTTAATATTTTTTTATTTAGCCTAAAGACTTTTCTTTCTAAGATAATCTCTTTTCCCTTTATAACATAGTGTTCCTTGACGTAATGTGTCTTTCGCATTAATTTCTAATATAAAATCTCTGTGTTAGAAGTTTTCGTTCAAAAACGTAAGTAATCATAATTAATCGACGTAGTAATTTTTTATAACCATATCCACTGCACAAAGAAATACATGTTTCCTCATTCTCTTTAAAAGGAGATATTGATTTTGTATAGTTGCTTCGTCAGTGGAAACCCATTGTAATACAATATGTTGCTTACAAACACAAAGTGTTAGTGCGATCCTATCTTATTCTATCGCTTTTAAGCCAGTGACGTCAGAGTTATACGTACAAACGCGTTAATCTTTTTTTAATTTATTATTTTATTTATTGCACTCTTTGCTTACCTTGAATTTTCGCTGCTGGAATATTTCTAAGCAAAATAATTGTCTTGTTATCTTTGGAAAACTGGGTTAATGATTTCGACAGTGGTGACGTACGGTTAATCTGAGATTATATATAAGTAAATTAAGGGTAAGGGTGTATTAAGAATTGCATTATCTTGCATGAACTTTGCTTAATAAGAACGCATGTTAAAAGTTAAATACAGATTGCCAGTAATTTTGTACTCCAAACTCTGACTGACACAAAATGATAGAATAAGATATATGGTCGCCTGCGCTGCTTGTTATGTATTTACTCTGTATTTATATGGAATTGGATTTATTTATATTTAAATTTAAGTATTATAAGCAATGTATGAAAATATGTATATGTTTTTATACTCTGTGGTACTTGTATGTTCCTTTTTCAAATAAACTATGTGCGTTAAGCAAAATCTCTTGGTGTTTTTTTAATAATGCCAAGGTTGGTTCGTCGGTGCGTATACGTGCGTATTGGACGTAAAATTCTGACGTCACGGAAGTCAAGTAAAAGAGAACGATATATATTTAACCAAGTGTTAGAAAGAGATAGTGTCGATACTAAGTGTTTTCAAGGTGTGTGATTAATTACGTTTTTAAATTCGTAAATTTACTATGTTTTTTGCGATGTAAGTATATTGAATATATAATAATCTATATATAAATGTACATAATATTTTTTTTATTTGTTTCAAAAGTTATGTATTTTACATTAAGCGTTTGATTGCAGATAGACGACGATTCAGGTGTTATGTATGATCAAGCAACTAAAACATCAATTAAACAAAGCGAAACAGGTAATTTTTAATTTTTTTTTATTCAAAATTTCATGTTACAGATAAATAATAGTACTTTCAAATTAATAAACTAAATAACGTTTATAAATGCATTAAGGACATTTAATATGGATTTCTTGTCTTAAAAAAAAAACAATCGAAATATCTTTAATAGAATTTGAAACACACAAATTTTATGTTTTCTTTGTTTTCCAGTTTGCCCCGAATCAACAGTAACTAGACGATCACGAAGGATTTACAAAAAGAAAGTACCAAAAGTAAAAAAAATACCAAAAACGGGAGCAGAACGAATACGTGCTTATAGAAATCGTATACTTGAATATGAACTAGAAATGGCCGCTAGATCTATGACAATTGCAGTAACAAATCCAAAAGAAATAACGCCTTTACATAATTTAGAAAACGAACAAATAACTTCACCTGATATTCAGAATACTATACTTTACAATGCTCTAACTCGACCTACCAAAGAACAACCAGAGCAAAATAATCCATGCGAAATTGAGGTAGAAATATCCTCGTATCCATTTCATTCGTTAACTAAACCACAAAACTAGTGATTTTATTGAACGATTAAATAAAAAAAAAACCTTCAGTACGATTGTATGCTTGAACGAAGAAACGCTTTAATGAATGATCCTATGGCTAATATCATTCATTCACTTATAAATATAATACAGTGAATGAAAAAATATTCCAAAAAATAAAATTGGAACTATTATCTTCTATGGAATTCCTTAGTTTAGATTCTTTAAATATTGCGATATTAAATATTAAATTAATCAAACTTCCGTGACACATTATAGTAAACTGATATATAAACACGGCTAAACACTCACGTATATTCGTCCGGTGGCGGCACCGACTAGTTTCGAGCCCAACGGGGGCCCTTCATCAGGATGATTGGTACTGGTATTATTTCGACGGGCCGCGTCCGCGGAATAATACCAGTACCACTCATCGCCGCCGGACGAATACACGTGAGTGTTTAGCCGTGTTTATATATCAGTTTAATATTAAATATTTTTAACAAAAGACCTGTAAGAAAAGACCTGTCCCTAAAGAAACGTCTTCAGAAACTCTTGTATAAAATACATTATAATCCTTCTTATTATATTTGTATAACAGCACTAACAATATGTTTTAAAATATGTGTATTAGCTAGAAATTCTAGATTATATTTTATAACTAACTTTGTATCTTAAATATTTTATATAAAAAAAACTATGACTTATGACTATTAAAATAAAAGAAAATGTCATATATTTTTTGCATTTATTTATATTTTATCTATGTATTATGTACGTTTAATCTAGTCTTTTCGTAATAAAATATTATTAATTTATTTGTAATTAAAAACTTATTTTATTTCCAGTCATCAACGAAGTTCACAAATTGCCGTGTGAAGTTCGAGTACAAATCGACCAAGAACTTTACTAAGCATGTGACGGGGCGTCGTCTCGCGTACTCCGATCCACCTGACGTACGTCTTATAATTGGTTAGTACAGGTCATACGTCACGTCACAGATTATTTGTCATACGTCACGTCACCGAATTCCATTTTGTAACGTATATACTAGGACGAGAGATAAGATGTATGTGCTTTCAAATGGTGTTAATTTTATGTACAATTAATACACTATAAGAAGGTTCAAACTTTAAGACGGTTCGTGATTAGCTATGAGCTTGTCTGGGCAAATGGGTGGGGTCACGTGCGGGTAACGTACGTACGGGTTTGCCCCGCCCCCTTATCATTTTACGGCCCTGAAACTGTATTCCGCTCAATGTTTGTGCAAAATCTAATAAAATAAGATTTTTTTAATACTTATATATGTATTTTAAGGTACAAGAATAATTGCGTGTGCAGAAAAGACGGATTCTTTCTATTCTGGCGTTGTTGCCGAGGTGCCGAATCCAGTTAACAAGTTTAGGTATGTTTTAATACGTAGTTCAAACAAGCAGCCTTATATACTATATGTTATATATCTTTTTATACCGATTCCCAGGAGGGTGTTTATGTCTGTTCCGTTGAGACATGTAGCTTAAATAACTAAAAATATTTTAGACAAAAATACAGCTATAAAAATAATTTCAGATGACACTCCATTCTTGAAGCTAGCGCCACCTACTTAGAGCTTTAAGTTTTTCTCTCCATTGTTTAGGTATTTGGTATTCTTCGACGACGGGCACGCAAAGTACGTGCAGCACGCGGACACGCGGCTCGTGTGCGAGTGCTCGCGCAGCGTGTGGGAGGAGGTGCACCCCTACTCCCAGGAGTTCGTGCGCCAGTACCTCCTCGCGTACCCCGAGCGACCCATGGTGCGTCTGCGACCCAAGCAGAACCTCAAGACTGAATGGCAAGGTCGGGATAACATTACTACATTAATTATATTTAGATTTTATAACCTTGGATTTTTTTCGTATCGCTGTCGCCTGCGATTCTGTCCTATGTGTTCTTCCAGACTATGTTCTACATGAACAAGACATCCATCCGTGCTTCCATCCATTCATACATCGAAACATTTGCATTTATATTAGTAAGATTGATGTGATTGTGTAGGTCAGTGGTGGAACTCTCGCGTGCTGCAAGTTGACGCGTCCCTTGCTGAGATCGAGCTGGCGGGCAAGCGGCGCGAGTGGATCTACCGCGGCTCCACCCGCCTCGCCCCGCTCTACCTCGAGCTGCAGGCCGCTGAGAGGCACCGCACTCGACCCATGCCGCGCTCCGGACCACAGGTCAAGGTAATTCAACACTCATCGATCATTCTTCCTACTAGATAAAGGTAAACGTACATTAATGGACCACCCTACACTACATAAGGGCAAATGTACATGTATGACCACTCTTCAGACTTGATTAAGATAAGTGTAGACGCCAGTAACAACAGTTTTTTCAGTATGAATGAAATTTATATGCAGTAAATATCTTATTTTAATGACAATTATACTCTTTTCATTTACTTTCGCAATATTTTTTCACACTTTTTAAAATGTACTTTTCCAGTCCAACATGCCGTACGTGGAGTATACGCGTTATGACGAGCCTTCCAAGTCACCCTCAGAAGCGGCGCAACAGAACGAGGTGAAATTAATACAAGAAAATTAAATATTTCATACATGTTGTTGTCTCGGAAGACAATATGTTTTTATACAAGAGTTTAGACAGTGTAAATCCACATTTAAAACAAAATTGTCAGGAGCTACGTCGTCAACGCGCCGTGGCCAAGAAGTCGACAGCTCAGAGCCAGCCGCCGCCGCAGCCAACCAATATAGTCCCAGTGGAAAACATCCTCTCTAGAGTTGTGGTATGTATACCTACAGGCTTAAAAAAAGATTTACTACTAGCCCTCATTGATTGCCTGACTGGAAATTTTATAAATGGGTAGGAAATAAATATCCTCGACTATGTTTCAGCACTACAAGCCTAAGAACGCGGTGCGTCCCCTACATATGGTGCCGCACGAGTGCGGGCCACAGTGCAGGCGCAGTGATGTGTTGCCGCTCAAGGACCTGCGCACATACAATCCACTCACAAAACCACTGCTCAGCGGATGGGAGAGGTAACACCACTGATATCATAAAAATAATATAGGTGGCCGTGATTTAAACGCAGCTGTTCATGTTACTGACAATTCTATCTCTAAGCCGCAGCCGTCAGTGCCAAAATGGCGAAAATCAAATAGGCACAAAATAGCACGTCTCAGTCTGTCCATTTATAAAGGTCAGTAGGTAACACGCACGTATTACAATATTGCTATCCCTCTCTTTCTCTTTGAAATAAAAAAGACAGCATTAGTGTTCTTATACTCGTGTCATGGTAGTAAAGTTAGTTACGGTAAAGGACAATCAGTAGTATGTATCTATTGCCATCTCTATCTAACTGTATTGTATAAAGCGAGACGTGTTCAGGCAACTGATCCGGTACAAGACGAACAAGATAGTGATGTACCGCGCGCCGTGCGGCCGGCGACTGCGCGACATGCCTGAGCTACATCGATACCTGCGCCTCATCGATTCCGACATGGCCGTCGATCTGTTCGACTTCAGCCCAGCAACACACTGCCTCGCCGAGTTTGTGCTCAATAACTGCATTATTGGCAAGAAGGTAACCGCATAACCTCACTCCGAGGACCTCATAACCTCACTAGGAGTACTTCATAATCTTATTGGACCTCATAACCTTGCACACAATCTTATTAAGATTATAAATGCGTATGTTTAGATGGATGGATGGATATGTGTTTGAAGGTATCTCAGGAACGTCTGCATGAATCTCGCTGAAATTTAACATAGATGTACATAGTCTGAAAGAAGACATAGGCTACTTATTAAGGTTTTTTTAATTCCGCGCGGACGGAGTCACGTGCGACAGCTAGTTTGGTGATAAGGAAACATGTTTTTTGTGTAGGATCTGTCGCACGGCAAGGAAATTGTTCCGGTGCCTTGCGTGAACTACTACGACGGCTCTTTGCCGGAGTTCTGCTCATACAACACGGAGCGCACACCCACTGCCGGCGTACCACTCAATCTCGACCCCAACTTCCTCTGCGGCTGCGACTGTGAAGACGACTGCGAGGTAACACACGCGACTAGCAGTTCCCATACACACTAACACACTCTGTTATTTTTTCATAAGTTGGCAAACGAGCCAGCCACTTCCAATAGGCAATTGCGGATGTCTATAGGACTAAGGGTAGGCAACGCATTTGCAGATCTTTGCAGATCAGTTGCCTACTTTTAATCGGACAGGACGAACAAAAAGAGAATATTTCCCCTTCCTAAGCGTCCACTTGCCTATATTATGTCAGCTATTGACAACATTGCCATCCTTCTCATTCCTTTTTAGAGAGACAGAAACATCAATAATAATGTAGTCGCAATAATCAAAGCTATTAAAAATAAATGCTGTGTTGCAGGATAAAAGTAAATGCGCTTGCTGGAAGATGACACTAGAGGGCGCGCGCACAATCGGCATGGAGGGGGACGTGGGCTACGTGTACCGCCGGCTGCCAGAACCTCTGCCCTCCGGCATTTACGAATGTAACTCTAGGTATGCTACATAAACGTAACACTAACCGTAGTAGAACTCAACCGTGACACCTGTATACACATAACCATGGCACTCGTATACAATCTGCAATGACATTTGTATACATTTTAAATATTTTGACCGTGAGAATAAAACAGATGATTATGTGGCATTGCATTACGGTAGGATAGTTTTACGGTCAGTTTACGAAATAATGTTTTTTTTAAGTATATATATTTGTGATTTTTTTTTCAGATGTAAATGTCGTAACACATGTTTGAATCGAGTCGCGCAACATCCTCTACAATTAAAACTACAGGTAAATTAATTTTACACTGTAAGTCTATTGTCGTGACATCTATTCCGGCAATATTGCCATTCCTGTCATTCTCTTTGAAGAAACAGAGATAGCAATAGTGTTTGTATACAATTGTCACATCAATTTTTTATACCGTAATATTTATTATAAGACTTTTATATTGTCTATTGTAATTATTTTTAAGGTTTTTAAAACTGATAGAAGAGGTTGGGGTATCCGGGCACTGAACGATGTGCCCAAAGGTGCGTTCCTGTGCGTGTACGCGGGAAATCTGCTCACCGACGCAACAGCTAACTTGGTAACTAGATAATTAATCTTACTAATATTATAAATGCGAATGTTTAGATGGATGGCTGGATAGATATTTGTTTGAAGAACGGCTCAGGTGATCTCGATGAAATTTGGCATATATATAGAATATAGTCTGGTAGAATACATAGGCTATTAATGAGTTTTTTTTTTAATTCCGCGCGAACAGAGTCGCGGTCGACAGCTAACTTATTGTAAATTTTACAAAATTTTGTTATAGCCTGTCCAGGAATATAGAAAACTCATGAGGGCGCTACAGTCGATTCAAAGTAGGTTTTGAGTTTATATTTGTTTAATGTCCAGGATGGACTGAACGAGGGTGACGAGTACTTGGCCGAGCTGGACTACATCGAGGTGGTGGAGGCCATGAAGGAGGGCTACGAGGAGGACGTGCCTGAATCACTCAAGGAAAATGATGATGAGGTACTATCTACATCGTCCATTACGATATTGGACTTTTTTAAAGTTATTTTGTCAAAATTGTGAGATAAAATGAATTGTTATTCAAATATAAGTTTATCTAACGTTATGTAGTTTTTGCGTAAAAAAAACGTTTAGTTTGACCGATGGTTTAGAGTTTAAATTTGAATCCATTTCTTATGTATAATGGATTTAAATTATTATGGATTACTATTAGGTAATTGTATCTACTACTTCAGTACTAGTTTTATTATTAATTAATAATAATCTGGTGGATATAATCGTTGTATTTTACTGCCTTTATCTTTTCTATGTAATAAATATTTTGGTAGAGGATTTTCATTCCAAGAAATAATATCGTAATATTAAATTTCAAAAGAGCGACTCCAGCGAGTCTTCAGAGGAAGATGATTCGAGTGAAGAGAAGAAGTCGAAGACGAGATCGTCTAAAGACGAGGACGATGAATTCCGGCCAGGTTACGTTGATTTGCCGTTAAAGTTCAAGTGAGTACAATGATAGGTGACATCAAACATTTGCGCGGTCCAGAATATCATCATTAAATTTAAAAATATCTTTCATAAGAAACTAAATTATTTAAAATACGTTCAACTTATTGGTCGTTAATTAAAACTCAAATATATTTTTTTAATTCTAAAAATCTAATTTCTGTCGACAGCAAGCATTTGCGAACTCGAGAGAAATGCAAGAAAGAGAAGGAAGATGATGAGATGATAGAAAAAAAGAAAGAGAAAGCAAAAGAAAAAGAGAAGGAGGTAGAAAAGGAAGAGAAAAAGGAAATCAAAAAGGATGGAGACAATGAGAATGAAAATGAAGACTGCATAACTATAAGTGACGATGAAGAAGGTAGGAAGTAGACGTGTGTAAAACATCTCTGAATCGGTTCAAAAGTTCATGTCATATAGGTTTGAACCGTTGAGTTGTGGATCAACAACTAAATTGTAAGCTCACAGCTCAACTCAGTGTATAACTATGCGAGTCGACGAACCGCGAGCTGCTGATGACTCATAGTTGGTAAAAATTGAGCTGAGCTGCGTTCACTGATCTACAGGTCATCCATTTTTAGTTTAGTTATATCTATATATATCCATGTCTAGCAGGAAGATGTATATTTGTAATCAGTAGCATCTCCGTTACCTTAATGGCATTGTGTTAAAATTGTTGACAAAGAAACTGCAGTTACACAAAATCTTTACAAAACAAATAATTCTGTATGATGAACTTATGTTTGTTTCAGTACGGGAACCGTCGAGTTTCTCCGTACAGGAGGGGATGGACTCGAAGCAATTAGTCTCCAAATATAGGTAAATAACATAAGGGCTGCGCAAAATCAAAGCACCGTGGGTTTTCACTGCTGCAACTACTATAAAAAGAAATAGAATAAGTCCTTTTTGTTCACAATAGCTTGATCCCAATTTGTTTTTAATTGTGTGACAGGTCTGTCCGTTCGTACTTCGGCAAGGACGAGGCGTGTTACATCATGGACGCTAAGGTGCAGGGCAACATTGGACGATATTTAAACGTAAGTCGCATACTTTATTCAAAATTATTAACGCTTATAGATTGTTTGGGTAGGCAGATCAATTAAAAATAAAATCACTACAAATCTACATGAGAAATAGGTGGGGGTAGATCAAAATTAACAGACATCCGTCAATCTTGTTGAAATTAATTTTTTTGCTTTAATTGCTATTTTCATTTGTCCTCAGCACTCTTGCTGCCCAAACGTGTTCGTGCAGAACGTGTTTGTGGACACGCACGACCCGCGTTTCCCCTGGGTGGCATTTTTCGCGTCTACCCACATCCGTGCAGGCGTCGAGTTGACTTGGAACTACAACTACGACGTAGGCTCCGTGCCTGGTAAAGTACTTTATTGCTATTGCGGCGCTGACAACTGCAGGGGTAGGCTGCTGTAAACATCTCATCAATATGTCCAGATATCTTGTTGATCTACAGCCGAACGCAATAATCGATATTAAACTTTTTTTCTTATACGTCATATCTAAATATATAAATATCTTACGTCATATATAAATATCTTGGCGGCTCAAAGTCTTTGTGTTCTGAGCCGACAAGATATATATGCCAATCTATACCAATCGAGTCATTTACTTACTTAAAGTCGTTTAGTGTATATTTTGTCATATTAAATCCACACTAAATGAATAAGGGACGGTATAGTTTACATTAACATTTTAGTCTAGTTTAAGGTGATATCAAATCATTCTTGTACGCCCACAAATAATATTATGATGACAAATAGTTTAAGGAACAATTTTTGGATTGATTTTAGGAATCTATTCCTGGGTTCGGTTGTGTTTTTAACTTTTATATCTGGATTGAAGAACATCATAGGTTTAGTTGTTGCTATGCCACCTTTGCGTTCACGATTACTCGTCTCTTTTACTTGAGACGAATTACAACGGACACTTAACAAGTTTACTGCCTGTTTCCACTGCGAAACAAGTTTTACTGCAGTAGAATTCTAAGGTAAAACACTTATTACAATGTTTTGAACGATGTTTCGGTAGTGGAAATGTGAATATTGTGAATTATTTGTAAATAATTACATATAAGGTAGAAATAATCGACTTAATCCTTGCGAAAAAAAGGATTTGATGAAATACTTTTGTAATTTATTTTTTTATTAATGAACTAGGACAATTATCTGGTTGTATAATTGAATAAAATTAAAATTATAAGTTTTTAACATATGTTAAAAATTAGATACTTTAAAATTATTTTAAACCTGAAAAATTGACCGGCTCTGTATATGGTAATAAAATATGTCATCTGTTTTATCTCGAATTAATTTGTCAACTATAGTATATATATAGTTAGTTAATTCTATCGATAGATAGTTTTATTATACTACCTGAAGAATGTAATTATAAGAGAAATAATTATAAGATAAACGTGAATAAAATAATATAAATAATTATAAACATCTTTCATTTCAATATGGTCATTTTGTTTTTATGTTACTTTTATTGGGTTTCTTTATTCCTCTAAACGATGGTCATTTTTTTTATTTCTGCCGAGATAAATATTTATAAAACCTATTTAGCGACAGACCATAAATAATTAAAGGTCAAAATAATGTTTCAAAATTGTTTATTTTTATAAAATTAGTTCACCTTCACTTAAAGATAAACATTGGTCTATTTGTAGTCACATTGCATCACAATTTTCTAGCAATTTTGCTCACGTTTGTTCTTAAAAACACAGACGTTAGTCGTAATAGATGAAAAATCACTCTGAGGTAGAACACTGCATATTCGGAGTAGTATATTAGGTGAGTGTTATTCGTAGTCAGGTCATGATGTTGGTGGATGGGGGTTATTTATAGTCCGATAATGATGTTGGGGGCGTGTGTTGGTTTTAGCCCGGGCATGATATTGGGGGGTGCGTGTTGGTTATAATCCGGGCATTATGTAGGCTATGTTGTGCAGAGTGTTCTGCATGACGTGAGCGGGGGGCGCGAGGGGCGGCACCGCGCGCGCCACGCTTAGCAGCGGCGCCAGCGAGCACAGCAGCGTGTCCAGCAGCACTGATACTGAACCCGATACCGCGATCTGACCCTGAACAAAAACCAATAATATGTTTATTAAAATCGTTATAGTATTACATGAAGACAATATTTAAATTCAACGAAACGTGAACGAATGAATGTGAAATATGACAAAGTTAATGTGAAGAGCATAAAGCAATTATTAATAAAAAAACAAATCTTATCTACTAGTTTGTACTATAGTTCACCTCATGCTCCTTGAGCCGTTCCCCGATGATGGCGAGGCTCTCACCGAGCAGACGCAGGTGCGCGGCCACGTCAATGGTTCCGCAACCCGTGACGCGGTACACAGCCGCCGTGCCCCCTGTTGGCATCGTTGACAACAATGCCGTCGGACTGCCAGTTGACACCGGCTGTAGAGTTATGTGTTAAATTTTAAATTGTTTCATTAGCTAAAAGTCTCAAACAATGTAGAAATATGTAAGAGGCCTTAAAAGTTGTGTCATGATAAAAGGTAAAAGGTTGGAGTTACTAGAAGGTTTCATCCCCACTTCAGACATTTAGTGGATGAATTTTGAGAAATAGTGAATGCTTGTATTACATAATTACAGAAATCTATGTGCGAAATGTCACGTCTAAGCAACTCACTGTGAGGGCATTCTGCTGTGCAGGTGGCGGGGGCTGGCGTGCCCGGTTGGCCGGTGGTCGGCCGGGGCCTGCGTTTGACGTGGGGCGGGCACCTGTTATGAACAAGCCATTCAATTATCTTAGAATATAAGATAAGAACTATATTATAAATATCTTTAAACATTTTTTTGTGGTTAAACTCTATCAAATTCTGTCATGATAAACATTAAAAATTTATCAAAATAGTTTATCAATATTTGATCAAGATCAAAATACATTAAAGTGTCAAAGCTACATGTTATTACAAAATTTAACAAGAGATTTAATTTTTCGCTACGATTCATTTACTTAAATTTACAAACTTATATGATTTCATTGTAAGGATTATAAATTGTATGACATCAATGTACTCACTGGGATTTGATATTATCTTAGAGGTTGCAACTTGATTGCTTTGTTCTTTTTGCATAGCAAATCTCTTTGCTTTACGTTTCCATAAATATCGCTCATTGTATGTTACCTATTATTAAATATAAAAATATTTATTTACATAGTAATTATAAACTATAATTGTAATAATTGCAAATAATATCTCACATATAACCTACCAAGATTTACCAATTTACCTTAACTTTGTCTAAGTAGGTAGAAAGAAAACTAAGTATTGGGTAAAAGAATTCATAAAATCATTACTGGAAGAGATTAAGTTAGAATTTGCAAAGTATAAATAAAGCATTAATAAACTTACATTAGCCCACATCTCACCCAGTTTCTTTGATATTGCTGAAAAGTCCATATTTGGACTCTGGCGTAAAAGATCATTTCTAGCTTCCTTAGCCCACATCATGTATGCAGTAATTCTAGTTTTGCCTAAAAATATAAGGTTACAAAAATATACAATTAACAATTATCAATCTTGGCTAAAAAGCATGAATGTTGATTTTTGACCACAATCTATATATTTATCTACCTTTGTCTTTTCTCTGGGCTTTGGCTCTACCAATGACTTTCCCATCTTTTATTATTAATTTTTTCTTGTTACTTTTCTCCATCATGTAGAGAGAGTTGGCGGGAGTGCGCGCGGTGCCTTCATCTGACGCTGAACTGTCTGACTCCATGCTGAAACAAAGACTATAACAATAAAGTAAAAGCAAAAAGGATTAGTAAGTCTTCAATGTTTGAAATTTAACCTTTCAGCATTTTCTCCATTGTTTTCATAAAAGTCGGATTCACTACCCGAAGCAGTACCCGCGTCTTCCGCGGGCTTTTGTGGGGTCTCATGAAATTCCATAGGCTCTTCTTGCTTGAAACCGGCGTACGACTTCACTGGTGTTTGTCGTCGAAACCTAGTCTCAATATCGTCTGGAGATTCAAAATCCATCAGCTTTGAACTTTTCTTTCTCACTCTCCCGCTTCGGGATATACCCGTAACCTCCAAATCTACGAAACAAAAAGAAATTACTTTTCTGCCTGCGATGAAATGATAGACATGATTGGAAATATCCTTTACCATCCTGCATATTGAATAACGGTAAATTGATATTTTAATATAATCGAAATATATTGTTTGTTTTCGTAACGCTAGGACCCGCCAACATCGATATCCGTCAATTAAGACTGACAGTTGACAGGTGTCAAAAACGGCAAAGAGCAAATAAATGTCAAAAGTCACAGAAAAGTTTTTGAAACCAAAGAGTATATAAAATATAAAATGTTTGAAACCTTTTAAAATTAGAAACAAAGAGTATATAAAATAGATTAGAAACAGAGTAAAATTCAAATCAGGACGGAGGAAAAACATGGTATTTTTTTAAAAACATCGCATGTTATATTTAAACTACTCCGGAGGATTGTAAGGTAGAAAAGGAAAGGAAGAGAAATGTTGGGCTTTTATAGAAGTTTCGACGGTCAGTGGTAATGGTTTGACGTTAAAATGGCGCTATTATCGTCGATAAGGATTTTAACGGATAAAATGTCATATACAGTCGAACCTGGATCAGCAAGAAACCGCTAGTAACTCGGTTTTGAGAGAAATCTATATAAGTGAGAAAAAACTGTTAAACTGTAGCTTATACAGGTTCTACTGTAATCATAAATATTTTATTCCTTCATAGAAATATCTTGAGAAAAAAATTACTTTGCAACAATCAATACTTTATTTCTATTCACATCATGTTTTAGTAATAAAAATTAACCTTAAATCTGCACATCATACAAAATCACCTTCTTACAGAACCCTTAAAATGTATTGTTACCTGAAAAATAAATACCAAAAAATATCGTATGTATCGAATTCCCTTTTGTACGATTATAACGTTAACCATAGCCACAATAAAAAAAATATTGTCTTAATAAAAATAGTGGAGCTCTCTAGGCAAGAATGTATTAAGTAATTAACAGCTGCTAATTTGATGCAAAGGAACCAGTTGAATTCTTACATCTGAAAAAAAAACGCTTGTTTTGTTTGCGGTAAAACAAAACTATTATAGTATATTTGTGCCGGCATTATTTTATCTTTAGCGAATTACTATGCAAATAATTTCAACCGTCTAAATTTAATACACCTTTGAAATCGACAGAAAAATGTTAAGCCGCCAATCTGCTGGTGTAATAAATATCACATTCAAACAATTAAAAAATGCTCAAAAAAGCATTTGTTTGGCAGTACATCAAAAAATGTACATAACAGTATCAGTTTTTAAATTTATTTATGTCGTTATTATTTGTTTAAGTCAGAACTTGCTCGAATCATATTAAGCAAATAAGGCGTTTGTGAACTTGTTCAGCATGGAAGCTGTGTTGCCAGCTCTTAAAAATTATAGATGGCAAAGATTAAATACTTAAAGTGTGGACAAGCAAATCAAATATTATGCATGTGAGTTTCTCAGCTGACGCGACCCATTATGCTGCCGAAAATAATAGCAGCACATATTATTATTCCAATTCCAGTAAATATTTGATTCGGTTCTAATATGACTTTGTGTTGCAATTCATCTTTGTCTTTTTCGACATCATCTAGATCCTGGTGGACGGCATTTAGAGCTTTGGCGAGTTCCGCGTCCGATTTGGCGCTGGTCTGTGACGCCGCAACCACTAATCGTTTTAGTTCTTTTATTTGAGTTTCCACTACATGTTCTTGATGATTTAAATGCTCTGAAATATATTAAATACTCAAAGTAAACTCAACTTTAAGAAAAAATTTATCAACCGAATAATACAAGGAAATTTATTGATGCGAATATTGATCGAATACTAACCTATTAATGATGATTGTTTACTGACTAGATGATTTATATTCTCTTGCATTAGTTGTAGGTTTTGTGCCAGTTGTTCCTGTAAATAAACGAAAATATATCCTCATATATCTCTCTCATGTCCTCCGCATTCACAGAGGCAATTTTCTATAAATGTTCCCCCCACACCAAAGCGCTACCAAAAACGCGCATGAATTCAGAATTTGCCTACAATTTTATTGAGATTTCACTGTAGTATGTTCTATGCAAAAATACCTGATAAGCAAATTCAGTTTTCATAGCTTCAGTAATGTCCGCTTTGCTGGCGCTACCGCCACCCGCTATGGTGTACAGAACGCTCGCACTCCGCGCCATCTGTTGCTCCATCATATCACGAAATTCCGCCATTTTAAGGCGATTATTGATTGTTGAACCGGCTATACCTAACACTGTACCTACAAATAAATAAATGGAATAAAAAAAATTTACAGTCAAACTTGGTAAGCGAGTGTCCAGAGGACCGCAATATTTTTCTTGTTTATAAAGGTTTCTCTCTAACCCCCATTTCCCACTTATGGAAGTTGTCTGACAATGACTTTTGCTAAGACTTTGCTAGCTTATCCATGGTTAAATGTATTTAAAAAATGTCTTATGGATTAAGTTTATCCGTATAAAATACTAGCTGCCGCCCGCAACTCTATTCTTGTGGTATTGAAAAAAAACTTAATTAGTAACCTATGAGTTCTTCTAGCCTATGTTCTATATGCATGTAAATCCTACCTTCCTTCAATCATCAATCCATCTATACACCTAAACTATCGCGTTTTTAATATTAGTAAGATAGTAATATACTACAGAACTCTATTTAGCTACTGCATATTTTATGTAATGTTTACTTACCAAAAATTGAAGCAACTATGTACCAATATTTATTACGTTCAGCATGTGCTCTCTCCCGTTCATGACCTAACTTTACTGCTGCAGACATTGTGGCGAAAAGCTCTCTTTCCTCTCTTTCAGCGTCTGAAAACAGTGTCCGTAGTGCTCTCTCTTGAATGATTAACTGAAAGAAAAATGATTAGATTGCTTTAATCTCAAAAAATTTAAACTTTTTAGTTATTTAAACCTTTTTAAAATTTGCTGAAAATGCTGGTATATAGAAAATTACTATTATTTAATTCAAAACATTAGACTCACAATATGGTTTTCAAATTAAAAAGATAAAAAAGGTACATAATAATTTTTGAAATACATATTCACCTTATGCTCTTCTGTACATAGTTGAAGATATTTTTCATCTCCTTTCATAGTGTTCTGCATTTCAGCATGCAACTCTTTCAAGCGTGCCTCTATGGAAGCTAGCTCTCTGCCAAGTTCTCTCCGCCTTTCTTGTGCGTCAATAAACCTTTCCTACAAATAAATACATAAAAATACAGCTGTTTATATGATCCTTTAAGTATACCTTATTATGTTATCTTTACATTCATTCAGTTTAGTATGATTTAAACACGTATTGTAAATCCCTCTTACATATTTTAATATATATTTAGTTTTCAATTACATATGTACTTCCAATTAACAGGTATATTTAGAAATATCGAGTGTAGTCATAATACCTGAGCCTCAATAACAGTATTTTGAATAGCCATTATCTCTTCAACTCCCGTAAATTTTTCATATTTTGAAACTAGATCTCGCACTTTTTGTGACACACTTGTATATTTAAATTTTTCTGCAATTTCATTCATTTTAGTGGCTGGAACATACTTAGTGATCAATTGGTCAACTTTTTCACGACTGTTTGAACTTATTTGTACTAGATGTACTTTATCTTTCAGCCGCTGAGCCATCTGACGAAGCCGGTCCGCCATGATTGCATATTCAAATGTAATTTTGTATTATTAGAATAACTTTTCTCTGAACATTTTTCTAAAGATATGATATCATCTCGCCTTTTTTGAGAATTGTCAGTGACATTGACAGTTTTGATGTGACAGTGACATTGAATTCAATAAACAGAACAACTACGCTCTGTTTCAAGCACAGTTTCGGAAGTTGCAGAAAAAAGTTTCACATGAACATTTTCTTACATTTTGTGTTTTCTTTTTTCATAGATAACTTATAAAATAACATGTAATCAGTGAGAATAACCAGGGCCGCATTAACCCGGACCCAGAACCTAGGGCCAGCTCACGCGCCGGTGCCTTGGGGGCTCCGGCTAATGGATTATTTTTGGGGGCGCCAGGACGGTCTACAGAATAACTATCACTTTTTATTAACAATTTATATATTTATTAAGTAGACCTTTCCTGCATGAAAAAATACTTTTATTAAATGTGACTGCTTTCGTGAAGATTGTTGTATATAAAAATCGAACCAGGAACTCGTATCGTAGCCGCTCGATGACAATATAATAAAAAAACTCCAAAGCACAACACAGCATGGTTCGGTTGTAGTGTTGTCCATACGATAAATTATGTTCAAGGTAGATTTATCGTGACACTGCCGACGACAGATAATTCGTTAAGTATGATTAAGACATCGCCAAAATTGTTTTTGTTTATTTATTTATGCACGATACAATCGATAGACGTCGGACGCCGCTGTCATTAGAATAGAAGCACGCAAAGCGACTGCGACCTCGATACGCGCTTAGATCGTCACTCGAAGAAGGACAGTGTATTCAGTTGCGGTTAGACGATGTGCTAATCATTTTGGTCGTTTAACATGCATAAAATGCAATAATGCATATAAAATCCTAACAAATATTTTATAAAGTTATCTGCCTCCTTTTGCTGTAGTACAAATTTGTACTTATTTACATACATCTCAAGAACACATATAAAGAGGAGAAAACATACATATAAAGAAGAGAAATAAGTCATTACATTAAAAAGTCAGGTTTGCTAGTATTCGCATGAAAACACAAGACCATTAGGAATAATGTAACTAATTCTTTCTATTTTTTCCTAAACTAAAGATCCATCGTAGATTCCGTTTGCTTAAAAGCCAGCAAGACCTCCATCTTGTGAGAGATTGCCTCGTTTGCCGCCATTTAAAAAAAAACTAAAAGTATATGACTTTAGACTCGCGCAGAAAATTAGAACCATGTAAATGGTTCCTGTGTTGCATTTGTAATGATAAAGTTTTGTTTTAACAAGCCGAATGATTTATCGAAAACTCTTAGTATGCTACTTGCGCAGGAGACATTATTCGCATGACTAATTCTAAACAACCCTGAAGGTTCAAACATGCTGCGTCAATTAGTTTTTTTTTATTTTTTTTATAACATATTGCATATGCGGAAGACACTTCTTTGTTTGATGTTACTTTATAATGAATATGTTAAGTGTTTTGAGATGAGCGTAACAAAAACATTACGGTTACGACTAGGCAATGATTTATTCAATTCATTTGCTTCCTTACCTAAAATATGATAAATATAAACGGTATTTATTCAATGACGACAAAATTACAGCTTTAAAATATATCTTCGATATGATGTAGAAAAGTTAAAATAATACTAGTATTCAAATAAAAGTTTTAATGATTCAAATACGCAAAAAATAATACGAATTAATTTAACATATAATTGAATTAGTAAGTATTTGAAATAATATTATAAGGCCAACAACGGTTAATGCTCTATTCGTGAAAAAACATGTTTTATGTTTTAATAAATAATTACGAAATGTATAATTTATGAATGATTAATGTTTTATCATTATGGCAAATTAAACGCTCATGCGACGCTACTGGTACCTATTTTATGGTACACAACTGTCATATCAGGTAAAATCAATGTAAATAGTTTGAATTTGACGGCAGTACCGGAAATATGGCAGTATGGCAGGGCGCTTTTAGGCGACAGTCTAGGGCGGTGGACAAAAAGGGGGCGTCACAAGTCTGTGAATGATATAGTCTCACGTAAAAGGTTACGGTAAAGGTTATAAGCCCCCCCATTTATAACGTAAAAAAGGATTAATACCCCTCCACCCCCAAGGCATTGAAAACAGGGAGCGATGTAGAAATCTCGCCCTGATAGCGAAATCGGCAATGTTTTTCACATGTAATAAAAATAATGACAACTTAACTAAAAGTAATAATTTGACTTCTTTAACATTGGACTTCGTCTGTCAAAACAGATGTACAATAACATTATATGATAATTGCTACTAACTACAATAAATACGAACTGATATCCGATGTTTGTCATCGAATCTTGCAAATTAAATATGGTCTACTTCCCGATAATTGAATGAGCTAAAATTTTGCATGAACATGTGTTAATCTCGTGACTGATGATGTAGCTGGAAGGTCGCCAAAGGAACTTCTTAATGAAACGACACAAGCTCATGTATAATATTTGGACTAGTTTGAAAAGATTAGATGAGTACTTTGCCTTTTTTTATTTTTTTTTAACTAACAAGAACAAAAGCTTGTTTTTTTTATTTATTTTTTGTAATTGAAGAATGTAGTTGAAAAACTTACTAAGTTAAACTGATATATAAACACGGCTAAACACTCACGTATATTCGTCCGGTGGCGGCACCGACTAGTTTCGAGCCCATCGGGGGCCCTTCATCAGGATGAGTGGTACTGGTATTATTTCGCGGACGCGGCCCGTCGCTCACTGTAATAATACCAGTACCACTCATCCTGATGAAGGGCCCCCGTTGGGCTCGAAACTAGTCGGTGCCGCTACTGGACGAATATACGTGAGTGTTTAGCCGTGTTTATATATCAGTTTAGTATAATGTCTCACGAAAGTTTGAAGAATTTAATAACTTACTAAGTTGTTGTTCATATTCATCCTTAGACAGGACATGCTTACGTAAAGTAATAAGGTAGTATGGGATAACATTTTAAGTGTAGTACAGCGTACTTTTAGTATGTCCCAGGACTTATATTACTTTAACATCTTACCTACTAATATTATAAATGCGAATGTTTCGTTGAATGGATCTTGCTGAAATTTGGCATAGATGAATATAGCCTTGAATATACATAAGCTAGTATTTTTTTTTAATTCTACGCGGAAAGTGTCGCGGGTGTCAGCTAGTAGTTTAATTCAACTTGGTTTTTTAGGACTGGTTTTTTCTTTCTGTTTTGTTCTCCGGCTATCTATATGGAAAGAATGGCGGTATTCCATCAAGGCGTGGTGTTTCTATTTAGTTGCTAAACTTGTTCCATTATTTTACTAAACCAGTCCGTACAAATCTAAATGACATTTCCTTTATGTTAAAAAGTGGTCGAAGTTACTTCATTATAATAACTGTCAAACTTAATGATATAAAAAAAATCGCATATTCTAATGTCGAAGGAATTTTTAACGCTTTCTGATAAATGTTGTTGTCAAAAAGTGGCAAATTTAAAATTTATAAAACACATCTCAAGTCTTTCTTATCCTTGAAATCGAAATGTCTTATTTTACGGTTGATAAATCGTCAACAATAATCATTAGACTCGCTATTTGGGATTATCGGTCTATGCTCCTCATACCGAATTTTCTGAACATGGTCGTGATCTTAATATTAGTCGCATGACAAAACAATGAGACAAGCTTTATACATACAGGCCATGAGGAGAGAGGAGACCTTATATGTAGTTTAATTTCTTTTCGACAATCACTATCAGCTCCCTAAACGTCCCGCTCGAGGGGTTCGGATTCTTCTCTAACTTAGGGGTGATTAGGCCATAGTCAACCAAACTGGACCAGAGCGGGTTGACTTCATACATATCTTCGAATTTCTTCACAGATGTGTGCACGTTGGATCACGATGGTTTCCTTCACTTTAAGAACGTGAATCGAAAATTGAAAATCAGTGCATGACGGGATTCGAACCCAGTAACTGCAGATTGCAAATTAAGTGCTTAACCCCTGAGCCGCCGATTCTTATTTTTCTCGTTTTGACATTATTATTGTTATAATGTAATTTGTAACTATTTCCCAGCAAATTATCAAGTAACAATTAATTGCAAGGTAATAAAATCATTCACCTTGTTTTATAGGTTTTTTGCTTCATTAATTTTATAAATAGAGAGTATCTTCGTCGTATTTTAAACTAGTTTTAATTTATTAACCGTCTATTTAAATTTTTACTAACCGCAACATTATTATTTGAATAACGGTATTTTAATATGTTCTATCGCTTAAGTTATATGACGTGATTTGTCGAAGTTAGAGAGAGACGCTATTCTTTCGCCATTCCCACTGCATGTAAAAAGCAAAGTATTTTTATTGATTACTAGCTGTCGCCCGCGATTCCGTCCGCGTGGAATGATAAAAATCTTAATTAGTTCCCGGCAATTATTCGATTTTTTCTCACATTTTAAAGCTTCCCTAGACTTCCACGAACATTTCAAGACCAAGATAAGATAAGTCCGTTCAGCCGTTTTCGAATTTTAGCAAGACTAACGAACAGCCATTGATTTTTATTTATAGACTAGCTGTCGCCCGCGACTCCGTCCGCGTGGATATATTAAAAAAAACTTAATACATAGTTAAATTATAAGTTAAATAAAAAGCAGCTCTTCAAGGCATAAATTCGAAAAAAATAAAAGAAAAAAAATGAATAAATATTATGTCCGTCTCCTGGCTCTTAGCCACCTCCTCACCAATTTTCAACCATATCGGTAAAGCCGTTCTTGAGTTATAAATAGTGTAACTAACACGACTTTCTTTTATATATATGTATAAGAATATAGATAGGTAAAAATGGAATTTTATTTTAGAAAAGTATAATTTAGTTATTAATTATTTGTATTTATTAACCAGGGATCGTATTCGCGCCGATTACTCTAAAACATGGCGGCCTTATCTACGATATATTATGAATGTCTGCGCACCATAAGGCAGCATAAGGTTAGCGTACTGCATTTCGCAACGAAACGCGCCCGCCATCAGAGCGAAGCTTCCCGCGTTATTTTTTTTTAATTTATAAAATAATCTGTGTCAAGATGCCAGTAAGAAAATGTTTTTAATAATAAATTAA